CGATCAAGCCCTGGCCTGGGTTCTGATGGCTGCCTGGTGAGGGAGGCCTGTCTTCCTGGCTCCTCAGCCCTGCTCTGAGACCAGCAGCTGGGAAGGAGGCTCTCTCACTGAAAGGAGGGGAGCTGTTGAGACAGGGCAGTGGCGAAGGGGCCAGGGCATGGCAAGGAATGGGCGCTGGGGGCAGGGCTGGTTTTGGCCTCTTTGCCTTGAGAGCCGGCTCCCCTGTGCTGTCCAGATCATCAGTGAGGAGCGGTTCCGGCAGCTGGAGAAGATCAAGACGATTGGCAGCACCTACATGGCTGCCTCGGGGCTGAATGCCAGCACCTATGACCAGGTGGGCCGCTCCCACATCACTGCCCTCGCAGACTATGCCATGCGGCTCATGGAGCAGATGAAGCACATCAATGAGCACTCCTTCAACAATTTCCAGATGAAGATTGGTGAGAGGGCCTGGTGGCTGGCGGGTTTCCCAGGGCTGTTTCTGGGGAAAGCCTAGGGACCAGGCAGGACGGCATCACAGATCCCCCATCGGGACGCTTGTGGGTTTCCTTTCTCTCACTATATTGTCTGATACGAAGGACAACAATCATTCACTGAGGGCCAGCTATGTGCTGGGCACTGTTTCACACTTTAATCCTCACATTATCATCCCCTTTGACAGATAAGATAAAGAAACGGACTCTCAGAGATTAAGTAATTAGTAAGTGGTTGAACTGGGATTCAAAACCAGGTTTATGTCGACTCCAGTACCTGTGCCCTTTCCTACGGCCAGTGTGATGAGGGGTACCTCCTCTCAGATGAACTGAGGATGGGAGTGGTTAATAGCATAGGTCCTGTAGTCAGACTGTCTGGTTTGAATTCTGGGTATTGCACTTACTGGCTTATTTAGCAAGTCATCTACCTTCTCTTAGCTTCACTTGCCTTATCTGGAAAATGGGGATACTGATACCTACCTTTTAGGCTTTTGAGAGGATGAAATACTAATGGAAATGCTTACCAGAGTGGCTGGCACAGGGCGCACATTCAGTAGGTGAGCTACTGTTCCAGCAGAGCTGTCCTGCCTCGGGGGAGCTCCTCAACTGACAGGACCATTCTTTACAACCAGGACACTTGTCCCTTTGCCATTTTCTTCTCTGGCTCCTTCTAAAGGTGCCAGGAGGTGAGATGACTCCCTGGGCGACCCTGGAAAGCCACTCATCTCAAATGTCTTACTGCTCTCTCCACCCCAGGACTGAACATGGGCCCCGTTGTGGCAGGCGTCATTGGGGCTCGGAAGCCGCAGTATGACATCTGGGGGAACACAGTGAATGTCTCTAGCCGGATGGACAGCACAGGGGTTCCTGACCGAATCCAGGTGAGGGGCCTGTGAGCAGAGGCTGGTAGGGTATGGGTCCAGGGGGCTTCTGTCGGTCCTTTTCTGCAATCCTTAGGACAGGGACAGGGTGGCAGTGTGCTGGGGGTTGGGGGAGGGCAGCTAGTTTGATGAGAGGACCCCTGGGCCCCTACAAATGTAGCAGGAAGGATCCCAGCTAAGCAGTCTCCCTTCCCATCCTCCTAGGTGACCACGGACCTGTACCAGGTTCTAGCTGCCAAGGGCTACCAGCTGGAGTGTCGAGGGGTGGTCAAGGTGAAGGGCAAAGGGGAGATGACCACTTACTTCCTCAATGGGGGTCCCAGCAGTTAGCGGGGCCCAGCTACTAATTTAGCTGAAGGGACCAAGGTGGGCATTTGAGTGGACTCTGCCTGCTGGATGAAGCTGTGGCAGGGGGCACTGTACCTCAAGACCCTGCTGACCACAAAAGGGAACACCCAGCAGGCTGTGCTTGGACCATGCTCATTTGCCCTCAGGCTGGAGAATGAGGGGATACCAAGAGGGTTTTGTAAGTGACTTTCTTTTAAAATTGAGGCAGGGCTGTTCTCCCTCCTTTATTCCAGCTTTTGGGAGCAGGGGAGGGAGTAGCAGTGGGAGCCCTCCTGCCGGAAAGATGGAAATGACAGCTTGCCATGCCTCCCTTTCCCTGTCTGGGCAGCAGGCTCAGGGCCGGGCCCTTCCTTTCCCTTTTTCCTGGGAATACTTTGTACAAAGACTGGGGCAGGTGTGAAGAGTGCCTATTCCATGCTTGCCTTTGCTACGCCTGCATCCCCAGCATGGTCCTGGGGTCTCCTGGCCTCAGCCAGGTCTCCCTCCTAGGCACAGGCAGAGGAGGGAGATGCTCTCAGAACCCAGTTCTGTCCATATTTCAGGGGAATGTTTCCATTTGCCAAATCCTAGTCCCATGATCTGTCCCCAAAGGGGAACAAAGGGACTTCTGACAGCTCAGATTTAGCCCCAGTTCCTGCAAAGTGTCAGGGAAAGGGGCATCTGGCCTCATTGGTACTGTGAAAATGCCCGGCCAGAGAGCAGGCATTTGTGTGGGGATGTCAGAGCAGGAGCTGGAAATTCACCTGCAGGTGCCAAAGAGAGCAGGCTGGCCAGGGAGGGGGTGGGGCCGGACTCTGATCTGAGGGCCCGACGGCAGGATCAGGTCACCCTGCCCCTGTGCTCTCTTGCTGTCTGCTGGCAAGGGGGGGGGGGTGGGAGGCTGGAGCTTCTCTACCCTTCTATTGCCAAGTTAGAAAGGGCCAGGGCCTGCAGGAAGATGACCCTGATCCCGAACTATCCTCCCAAGCCTTCGGCACTGGGAGGGCCTGTGTGTCTGTGCAGTGTGTGTGCATGTCGGTCTTTGTGTGCGTGTCTGTTGTCCAGGACTGTGTCCTTCGTGCTCCTGTTCCTCAGCTCTCCACCCAGGCTGCCTCTCTCCTGTGGGCCTCTGTCTTCTGGGAAAAGGCGGTGTTTCAGGTTTCAAAGGACGGAGAGAGATGCCCAGGTGGCCCAGGAGAGGGATTTGGTGTCCTGGCAAGAGAAGGGGTCCCTGGGGAGAAGAGTCCTTTTTGTGCCAAATCCCTAAGTGCCATTGGGGCCATGTGTGCAGCATAACTATCTCCCTGCCTGGGCAGAGACCAGCCTGAACTGTCTAGGGTTTGGTGGGCAGAGGCTCAGGACTTTCTTGGGTTTCCCAGCTGGTGTCCTGGGGCGAGGTATGCTTTGGGACTGGGGTAGCATGGGATCCTTCTGAGGACCCAGATACCGGTACTAGGGGTTGGGGTAGGCGCGCCTGAAAGTTGGCCTTCCCCAGCCTTCAGCCTGAGTCTAGCATGTTCCTGGCTCCCCAACCCCATGCAGCCTGCAAGGGCTTGGCAGGAGGGTTAGGAGGCTGGATTCTATATTCCTGTCCTATCCCTGCCTTCTTTTTCCCTTTCCCTGCAACCTCTTGCCTCTGGCCTGAATTAGTTGGTGCCTTGGTTTCTCTGTCTGTACCTATTTAAGCCTGAATTTTGCTTAAAGACTGCTCTGTCTCGGAGGTGACGAGAGGCAGAGGAGAGTGGGTCCCAGAGTTGCTGGATTGGGAGTAGAAAGGGCAAGTTCCCTTCTTCATGCCCTTTCTGACTCTAGCTCCTGGTAGAGGCCTGGTTTCTGATTTGAACTGCCTGCCTTTGGGGAATCTTCATGCATCAACCAAACAGGCCATTAGGCACTTTGTTAAGACAAGGCAGGAAGAGGGGAAAAGACTAGTTGGACCAGACAGAAAATCAACTTCCCTCCCTCCGGCCATATCCCTGGATAGGAAGGGACTGCTTGGAGACATGGGGTGGGGGTGAGGGTATAAGGAGACCAGAGTGGGAAGACCGCAGTCTTGGGTGACTTGTCTCTGCTGCTTGCTAGGCGGGAAGGGCCTGTCCACACCCTGGCTCCCTGTACCACAGTGCCAGCCATGCTCTTCCTCCGGGCTATCGCTGTCCCCTTCTTCACTGGTTGGTGGGAGAAACCAGTGGAAAGGAGGCCCAGGGACTTGGTTTTATACTGTAACCACTGTGGGAGGGGGGGGGGCGGGGGATGTACCATGTATTTCAGTGAAATATTTAATATATTTAAATATCAATAAAATCAAACTCTTTGTAAAATTCTCTGTTCTCTGCCGCTGTTCTGGGCCCCGGGTTGGGTCAGAATCAGCAGAGCCTGGTGTGGAGGCAGCCTCCTGCCTGAAGGCTGGTGGACCTGGGTTGTCTGTGGTCAGAGGACTGCCTCTGCTCTCCTCCCGGCCGCAGTGAAGCTGCAGTGTCTTCTGAGAGCATAGCTCCTCTAGGCCCTGCAGCATCATGAGGACCCATGAGACTTCCCAGATCTGTTACTCTGGCCTCTTCCACGCATGAGGTTAGGACCCCCTGTGGTGGTCTTCTCCCAGTGCCCTGGCCCCTCCCAAGCAAACACCAAGTTCTGGCTGCTTCAAGAACTTCTCACATACCTGACCTCACGGGAATTTGGGCACTGGGATCGTTTCCCTCCCCCTCACGTTCAGAGCATAGGAGTGACTTCTGGTCCAATCTAAAGTTTACTTTTTCATTAGTCAGCCATCAGAGCCAGGATACTTTTTTCCTCTTTCCCCTTCTTTGTCCTCCTTCCATGGACCATCCTGTCCTTCTGCAAGCACATCTTGCTCAATACAGACTGAATAGTCTGTCATTGAGGATAGAGTGCTCCATAAACCTGGAAAAGAGAGGGTCTCAGATTCAGTCAGGCTAGGCCGGAGTGTGTGTGTGTGTGTGTGTGTGTGTGTGTGTGTGTGTGTGTGTGGCGGGGGTCCTTAAACATAGGTCAAGACTATCTCAGGGCAGAATGGGCAGGGGTAGTGATGAGGAAGTAGGACTACTGCCAATGGATAGTGGCTGGAGGGCGGGGAGGTAGCAACGGGGGAGGATTCCCACAGGAATCCTATAGACACTTGTCTTGTGCCTGCTCAGAAGTCATATCCACATGGCGAAACAAAGACACAGATAAATCTTTACCTCCTTTGAATGCCACCAGTGCCCAAATTTTGGGGCCACTTTCCCTGGTAAGACTCAAAATACCTCTTCTATTCCCTAACTCTGAGTAGAGGTGAAACAGTCTCTAAGGATTTGAGTGGAGGGAATAGTCTCCCCACCTCACCCCTCCCTGCTTAACCTGGTCATTGGGCTTTTAATGAGGCAGTGGCGAGGGCTCCGGATCCACGGCATGGTGTCTTCTGGGCGCACTCCTGGCTCATTTGACCTCCAGAAGCTGAAGTTCTGAGCATCAGTCAAGGGGACTCTAAAGACTTGATTGGGGACTGAAAGGTTTTGGGAAGCACAAGTTATCCAATTTCTTTTAGTTCTGTACTCCCTTCGTGGTTCAGGGCAGCACAAGCAACTGGGCCTGACCAGGTGCTGAGAAGTCCTAGGAGTTTGGTCACCACACCCAGCTTTACTTCCGGATTCCAGCATCTCACACCCTTCATGGTCAGTTGAATCAGTTTTGGTTCTTCCTGCTGCTACTAAGCCCATCTCTTAGAGAGCTTCCCCCACGTGCTAAAATAGTGGAAAAGCAAGTGGTCAACCCACTTGGGAAATATGCAAGATGGGTCCACAGGTTCAAACCCTCAACCCTTCAGTCTGCAGACTGATGCTCTAACCACTGAGTGAGTGGCCAGGGCTTTTTTTTTTTTTTTTTTTTTAAATGCTTAATCATCCTCATTCCCTTCCTTCCTCTCTGAAATAGTTCCTTTCTTTGTTCATTCCAGGTAATTCTCTGAAATTTAGCAATTATACTACCTCATGTTTACATACTGCTAATAGATATCATTTATCAAGTATCTGTCATGTTGTAAATGTCATATTAGAGGTGTTCTTAAACTTTTGAAAGGATGTCAGACCTATTTCGATTTGGGGGGGGGGGGTATTTTCCCTATTTGAATAAGTCTAATTATACTAGTGTATAAAACAGAATTTCCGGAGGATGAGGCCCAGAAATCAGGATTTTAAAAAGATTCCCAAGGTGATTCTAATGTGCAGCCAAGGTTGGGAACCACTGTATAAAATGTTTATATTTTTAAAAATTAGAATTATAGCCTAATATTATGAGTACATAGTCTTTATAATCATCTTTAAAAAATCCCTAATACACCGTTGAGTAGATGTTACATTTTTTACTTAATTATTTTCTTATTAATTGTAATAAGCTTTTTAAAAGTTTTGCTATTAGAAATAATTCTTAGATAATCCTTCATGCATGTCATTTTAAAAATATTTTTATTGATTTCAGAGAGAGGAAGGAAGAGGGAGAGAGGGATAGAAACAACAATGATGAGAGAGAACTATTGATCGGCTGCCTCCTGCATGCCCCCTACTGGGTATCAAGCCTGCAACCTCAGCATGTGCCCTGACTGGGAATTGAACTGTGACTTCCTGTTTCATAGTTCGATGCTCAACCATTGAGCCACGCTGGCTGGGCCATGTATGGCATTAAAATAATTTTTTTCATTGATTTTTAGAGAGGAAGGGAGAGGGAGGGAGAGAGAGAAACATTAATGTGAGAATGTAACATTGTCAGCTACCTCCTGCACACCCCCTACCAGGGGTCAAGCCCAAAACCTAGGCATGTGCCCTGACTGGAAATCAAACTGACAATCCTTCAGTGCATGGGACAATGCCCAACTTACTAAGTTATACCAGCCAGGGCCATGGATGTCATTTTTAATTTCTGAAAGCTTTATTTTTTAAAATTAGATGTTAATTTTGAGATAATTACAGATTCACATAGTTGGAAGAAATGATACACAGTGATCCTGTATACCCTTTACCCATTGCCCCCCAAGAGTAACATCTTGCAAAACTATCTAGTACAATATCACAGCCATGCTATTAACATAGTGATATAGAACAGCTCCATCACTACATGATCCTGGAGTTGCCTTTTATAGCCACACCCTCCACCTCCACACCCCCAACATTGGTAATCAATAATCTTTTCTTCATTTACATAATTTTTAAAAATGTTACATGCTTGCCTGGCTGGTGTGGCTCTGTGGTTGAGCATCAACATGAACCAGGAGGTCATGGTTTGATTCCTGGTCAGGGCACATGACCCGGTTGCTCCCGGATTGCAGGCACAATCCCCAGTGTAGGGCGTGCAGGAGGCAGCCAATCAATGATTCTCTCATCATTGATGTTTCTATCTCTCTCTCCCTCTCCCCTCCTCTCTGAAATCAATACAAACATATTTTTAAAAATAATGTTGCCATGCTGGCTTCCACAGCACATATACTAAAATTGGAATGATACAGAGATTAGCAAGCATGACACGCAAATTAGTGAAGCATTCCATATTTTTAAAAAAGAAAGGAAAAAAGTTTTATACAATTGGTATCATACAGCATGTGCTCTTTCAGGGACTGCCTTTCTTTTTTTTTTAAATATATGTTTTATTGATTTTTTACAGAGAAGAAGGGAGAGGGATAGAGAGAAACATCGATGGGAGAGATCGATCAGCTGCCTCCTACACGCCCCCTACTGGGGATGTGCCCGCAACCAAGGTACATGCCCTTGACCAGAATCGAACCTGGGACCCTTCAGTCCGCAGGCCGACGCTCTATCCACTGAGCCAAACCGGTTCGGCGGGACTGCCTTTCTTTACATAGCATAATTCCCTGGAGATTCCTACACGTTATCAAATGTATCAGTAATTTGTCCTAGATGCTTTTTAAAATGTACATCTTCTCTAACTTTCACACAATGCTAGAGTATTGTTTCCATTTCCAGATGATTTGGAGCAGTTAAATGTTTAAAAGAATTTTCTCCAGGTTACGCAACTTGTTTGGAACTTCAACTCAGTTCGAATTCCAAAGCTATATCTTGGTCTACCACTCCTTGGAGGCATAGCATGTAATAATATACAAGTACTTTTCCTAAATTGTCACACTTTTGGTTTGATCCTCATAGCAAGTCTGTAAGATTAGTAGAGCAGGTATTTTCTGTTTCTTGTTTTTTGTTTTTTTTTAATGAACGAGGAAACAGGTTAATTAAGAATAAGTGACTACTCAAGTTGAGACATTTAAAAGAGGCAGAACTGGACTGAAACCTGGACCTTCTGCCTTCAAGTATGATTCAGTTTTTATTTTATCTTGCTCACTCCACCACTCAGGTCTACTTTCTCCCTCATCTTCTCAGTCTCTCCTCTTGGCTCTCTTTATTCCCTGCCCTATAACCATGCCCCACCTCATCCAGGCCATTTTTTAGGAACTCAAGACATAGCCCACCCAGGGGTACTCACATGTCTTTAGCAACACCTTCCGTACAGCTTTGTGGTACTTTGTGTGGCTATTCTGGTGCACAGAATAATTCCCATCTTTTGAGATAATCGGGGGAAGCTTCGTGGGCACCAGTTCCTTCTGGTCTGAAACGAGAGCAGATTTGACAAATGGGACTATTTGATTCTCTGAGCCTCTACTCTCCATGCCAACCACACACATGGCAGGGATCTCTCCGAGCCACACACATCTGATTCTCCATTTTTGGCATCTTCAGGAGTCACATCACAATGCCTATGACAGAGGGGAGGGAGGGAGAATCCGGAGATCAAGAAACCTCCTTCCCCACTTTCTTGCTCCTCCCTGTCTGCTGGGCTTTGAGTGGCCTCCTTCTGAAATCAAGATATAGATAGATATTTAGGATTAGTGCAGGTGAAAAAAGGCACTTAATCTAGCTAAGGCAGCAATTCCTTTTGGGGACTGGTGTATTTGCAGAGCTCTAATTGGTCTAAAGGGAAAGTTATGTTTGAGCTGAGTCTTGGAGGGTAAGGAGTTGTCTGTGGGACATGGTAGTATCCGAAAGAACATTTCAGGCAGCAGGACAGCAAATGTTAAAAGTATTAGAGAGGGCCCAGCTTGCTATTGATTTGGAGCCTGATTCGTGTTGAATAAAGTGGAAAGGACAGGGGGTGGGGCTAGTGCAGAGTAGGGTAGGGTGGGGTAGGGCAGAGTAGTAGAGTGTAGATCTAGTATTCTTATGAGGGTTTGGGACTCCCCTCTGAGGCAAAACCTATATATCACTAGGCTGAAAAGACCAGATCTTCCTTACCCAGTGTAATGGTCTGAATGTGTCCTCCAAATTTATTTATTTATTTATTTATTTATTTATTTATTTCAGTAACCAGAGATTTTATTGGGTCACAAATTTGAAGCAGGGCAGGAATTTTTGCTTTAAGTATGGCTGGACCCAGGAACTCAGTGGATGTCCCCATGTGGCTCTTTTCATCTTTCATTTACCTGGATTGGCTGCAGTCTAGGCAGATGTTGCTCACCTGTAGTAAGGTGGCCACTGGCTGCTCCAGCTAAACACAGTAACTTCTCAGCAAGGGAAGGAGAACCCTTGTCCTCCAAATTTATACTTTGAAAACTTAATGCCCAAAGTGATGGTATTTGGAGGTGGGGGCTTCGGGAGGTGATTAGGTCATGAGGGCAGAGCCTTCATCAGTGGGATTAGTGTCCTTAGAAAAGAGGCCTGAGAGAGTTCCCTCACCCCTTCCGCCATGGGAGGACACAAAGTGAAGCCTGCGACCTGGAAGAGGACCCTCACCCGACCGTGCTGGCACCCCGATCGTGGCCTTCAGCCTTCAGAACAGTGAGAAATAAATTTCTGTTGTTTACAAGCCACCCAGTCTATGGTATTTTGTTATAGCACCCTGAACAGACTAAGACAGTGATTTTCAACCAGTGTGCTGCGGGACACGAGGCGCACTGGTGTGCTGACTGTTTAGTCAGGGGCATTGACCTCTTTTCCCTTTTGTCAAATAAAAAAATGACAATAGCCAACACAGCAATAGCCGTTTGGTGTGAATGAATCAAAATTATACATATTTTTTTTTGGTCAGGTCAGCAAAAAATACATTTTTCGGTGTGTCACAGACATTTAGTAGTTTCTGTGTGCCATGAGATGAACAAAGTTGAAAATCGCTGGGCTACGATACTTAGCCACTCTTACAGCTAGGGCCTGGGCAGAAAGTTTGGCTAGGACAATCAAATACATCTGTTCCAGATTTCGAATCAAAGATGAGGCTGCAAAGAAGCAGGGGTTTGTAAAGCCTTTTTCTGTCGATGGGAAGTTGCAGCAGTGAAACTGTGCTTGGCTGTAGCACAGTGTGCAGGGCCCAGCGTCCTTGGTGCCAGTGGTGCCTCCCCTAGCATTGATTGCAGTAGTTGTGCCTCACCAGGTCTGCAGCATGATTCGGAACAGTGTTCCTGGTTACTATCCATCAAGCTTGGTTCTCTGTTCCTTCTACAGCTTTTATGTGCTTCCCAATATTTTTTCTTCTTTTTAAAATTTTAAATTTTTTAAATTTTCATTTCCAAATATTTTAAAAAACTATTTTTTACTGTGTTGTGTAATTGACATAGAAAGTTGTACATATTTTATACAACTTAATGAGTTTGGAGATAAGTACACACCTATGAAACCATCACTAAAATCTATACCATAAACGTTTATGTTCCTTCCAGAGATTTCCTCCCACCCTCTTTATTGTTATTTTGTGATAAGAACATTTAACAAGATTTACCCTCTTAGCAAACTTTTAAATATGTAATGCAATTGAACTACAAGCTTTATGCTGCATAGATCTCCAGGACTTACTCATCTTGTAGAACTGAAACTTGTACCCTTTGACTACTGCCCTCCACCCCAACCCACCCACCCCCAATGCCCTTTCCCCTAGCCTCTGGCAACACCATTCTACTCTCTGCTTCTGAGTTTGATTATTTTAGGTTCCTCATATAAGTGGTATCATGTAGTATTTGGCCTTCTGTGTCTTCCAGGTTCATCCATGTTATTGCAAATGGCAGATTTCCACTGTATACATATACTGCATTTTCTTGATCTATTCATGCATTGTGGACATTTATGTTGCTTCCATGTCTTGGGTATTGTGAATAATGTTGCAATGAACATGGAAATGCAGATATCAATTTGAAACCCTGATTTCGATTCCTTTGGTTATATACCCAGAAATGGAATTGCTGGATCATATGGTAGTTCTATTTTTAATTTTTGAAGGAACTTACATACTGTTTTCCATAGAGGCTGCACCAATTTGTATTCCTACCAACAGTGCACGGGGGTTCCCTTTTCTTCACATTTTCACTAACACTTATCTTTCATGTTTGTTTTTTTAAACATGTGAGGTGTTATTTCATTGTGGTTTTATTTTGCATTTCCCTGATGATTAATGATCTTTTAAAATGCCTGTTGGCCATTTGTGTGTCTTCTTTGAAGAAATGTCTTTTCAGTTCCTTTGCCTATTTTTTAATCAAGTTTTTTTTTGCTAAAGTTATGAGTTTTTTTATACTTTTTGGATATTAACCCTTTATCAAGATATATGGTTTGCAAATATTCTCTCTCATCTGCAGGTTGTTTTTTCATTTTGTTGTTTATTTGCCATGCAAAAGTTTTTTAGTTTGATATAATCCCACCAATATTCTTTTAACAAATTCATATTCTGCTTAAATAGGATTTGGCTTACACTTCTGAATCCTGAGCTCAGGAGCTGGATGAAAATTGGCCGTTCTCTGAAAATTGTTGAGAGTGCTGCCTCACCTCTGGTGGAGGGTGGGGATGCCACTTCCTTTCTGGAGTTCTTCCCCAGCTCCTGCTTTCCCCCTTCTTCATGGGTTGGCCCCACTCCCTCGACTCTGTCTCTCCTCCCTCCCTTTTGCAGTCCTATGGAAGTGCCCTCTAATATTCTCTGAGATAATGACACTGCCAGGGTGGGACACTGTTTGAACCCCCTCCCTCTACAGATAGTTGGGGACTTGGAAAGGCGGCAGGTATAGAGTTCTGGAAGCCTGGCCTGACCAGGGGGCTGATCTGTGCTTCATCACAGGTTACAGCAACGAGAGGGGCTAGTTCCTGGGAGCAGTGTCATTTGAGTTTGGTGGTTTGACTTTGGGAGAGTAGGGAGTGGGAGTAAGCAGATGTAAACTGAAGAGAAAGAGCAGGAGCATATTTCTAGTGGGCAATGGGATCTGGCCTGTAGGAACTGTTGGTCTGGGTGCAGGTGACAGTGGGAGCTCTTTGTCTGTCCTAAGGCCTCAGACAGATCATCCTTAAGGGTACAACCAGATGATATTCTCTATTATCTGTTTCCAAATAGTAGATTTCCAGCTTCCCATATGGATGGTTATAGTGTGCTTGGAGGTGTGCTGGACAATAGCACCCATGTGGATGCCTTCATCCTGAATCAAGCACCCATTGACATACTCCTCGCATCAGTTTTTGGCAGGCTGGGAGATATTTTTGGTAACTCCAGCTTCTTGAAGCTTCCAGGTTTGGAAGCCACCTGAGGTGAAGAGTGGTGACGGGTAGGTAAGAATCATGTCACAGACTCTGTGAAAGGGCATGTTTTGGGTACAGGGATGCAGCGAGCTCTTTATAAGCAAGCTTCACTGTGGCAAGGTAGTGGACTCCATCATTTTGTTGGTAGGTGGTATAACAGAGGAGGTTCTTCATCCACCCAGTTAACACCATGCTTCATATGGTTTTGGGGGCTAAATAGATATGGAGTACCCTGGGCAGTTTCTTCTAGAAATGGGCCATGAAATGGGAGTTAACATAAGGCCACCTTTAATACTTTGAATGGACTGTGAAGGACTTCTGGGGTGATGCAAAAGTGCATGGGTGGATCTTTCACTTATCCAATTTAATATCGCAAATTTCGCAATATTATAGGCTTCCCAGGACCAATGGAGTCGTAGCAGCATTTTTAGTTATCCACTACTTTGCTCATTGCCTCTTGATTAGTTGGAACTGGGGCTGATTTGCCACAATATTTTCAGGTTGCCCTAATTGGTTTGGCTCAGTGGATAGAGCGTCAGCCTGCAGACTGAAGGGTCCCAAGTTCAATTCCGATCAAGGGCATGTACCTTGGTTGCGGGCACATCCCCAGGAGGGGGTGTGCAGGAGGCAGCTGATCGATGTTTCTCTCTGATCGATGTCTCTCTCTCTCTATCCCTCTCCCTTCCTCTCTGTAAAAAAATCAATAAAATATATTTTAAAAAATATTTTCAGGTTGAAGAATTTTTAAAATGTGTGTACCTCAGAGGCTCCCAGAAGTCTGATTTCCAGGTTGTGGTACTTGCCTGCCTCTTCCAGATGCTTAGTACACAGTGGTGATAATATCTAATACTCATTACTTGCAGTTGTCTTAGACTTGGTGTTACTTCTAGCAGAGTAATACCACCCTGACTAGAAAATCATATAAGATCAGCTTGAGAGAAATGTTGTGGAACTTACTGTACATAACAAATGACTCCTGCTCAGAAGGTAATACCCAATGCTGGGTATTAACTCCTTGAAGTTGGCTGGGGCATTAAGATGGACTGAAATGGGCTGACGTGTGTTTGGAAGGCTATCGTACAATGACTTATTGTCTTCCCTGATACAAGGAAATTGCCAGTGCTTCAGGAGGAAGTGGACAGGAACATGAGCCCAGGGAAACAGACCAATCCACAGGGCACATTTCACATGTGGTGCGAGT